AAATGTAGTCTACAGTGGTTAAAAAGTAGCGTGCAGCGATGGTACAGTGGTTAAAGTAGTCTACAATGATGTTACAGTGTGTTAAATGTAGTCTACAATGGTTAAAAGTAGCGTGCAGCGATGGTACAGTGGTTAAAAGTAGTCTACAGTGGTTAAAAGTAGCCCACGGTGATGGTAAAATGGTGAAAAGTAGTCTACAGGAGAAAGTAGCCTACAGCGATGATACAGTGTGTTAAATGTAGTCTACAGGGGCAAAAGTAGCCTATAGTGATGGTACAGTGGTTAAAGTAGTCTACAATGATGTTACAGTGTGTTAAATGTAGTCTACAGTGGTTAAAGTAGTCTACAATGATGTTACAGTGTGTTAAATGTAGTCTACAATGGTTAAAAGTAGCGTGCAGCGATGGTACAGTGGTTAAAAGTAGTCTACAGTGGTTAAAAGTAGCCTACAGTGATGGTACAGTGTATTAAAACTAGTCTTACAATGGTTAAAAGTAGCCTACAGTGATGGTAAAGTGGTGAAAAGTAGTCTACAGTGGTTAAAAGTAGCCTACAGTGATGGTACAGTGTGCCTAAAAGTAATCTACAGTAATATTACAGCGTGCTCAAAGTAGTCTACAGTTATGGTACAGTGTGTTAAAAGTAGCCTACAGTGATGGTACAGTGATTAAAAGTAGTCTACAATGGTTAAAGTAGTCTACAGTGATGGTACAGTGTGTTAAAAGTAGTCTACAATGGTTAAAGTAGTCTACAGTGATGGTACAGTGATTAAAAGTAGTCTACAATGGTTAAAGTAGTCTACAGTGATGGTACAGTGATTAAAAGTAGTCTACAATGGTTAAAGTAGTCTACAGTGATGGTACAGTGTGTTAAAAGTAGTCTACAATGGTTAAAGTAGTCTACAGTGATGGTACAGGGATTAAAAGTAGTCTACAGTGGATAAAAGTAGTCTATAGTGATGGTACAGTGGTTAAAGTAGTCTACAGTGATGGTACAGTGTGTTAAAAGTAGTCTACAGTGAAGGTACAGTGTGTTAAAAGTAGTCTACAATGGTTAAAGTAGTCTACAGTGATGGTACAGTGGTTAAAGTAATCTACAGTGAAGGTACAGTGGTTAAAGTAGTCTACAGTGATGGTACAGTGTATTAAAAGTAGTCTACAATGGATAAAAGTAGTCTATAGTGATGGTACAGTGTGTTAAAAGTAGTCTATAGTGATGGTACAGTGTGTTAAAAGTAGTCTACAGTGAAGGCATACTATAGAGGTGTAGGGTAGCGATCCAACACACAATAAACCAGAGCAGATACCTGGAGGTGTAGGAAGGGTTTACATAGAGTTCATAGATCATGGTAACATAATATGGATCTCACTTTACCATCATAAGATATATGGATCATGGTAGGGTAGTTTACAATGTATTAACTCTTAAGAAGGATAGAATAATCACAGTATACTCACCCTGGTAGGAGGTCAGTGATCATGGTAAAGCTGTATGGTAGGATGATAACCATGATAGGAATATAACCATGATAGTGTGATAACCACGTTAGGGTAAAGAGGTTACAGTATAACTACCTAATAATGTATCTAACTATTATAAGATCAAATGCCCATTGTATTGTAAAAAGGAACTAAGGTAATGGTCAATGGTCGTGCATGTAACCATTAGAGGGCGGTAGTCACCATAGAGTAAGTAGGGTGGGTTGCCTCAGGTGGGCATCAGGAGCAAGTGGGCCAGCATGTGGGTTGTGGTGGGCGGGGGATGGAGGGTGGTGAGAGTGTGTGTGTGTGTGTGTGTGTGTGTGTGTGTGTGCTTCATCTTTGTTTATTTGTAACTTTCTAGAGCTGTTTACTCAATATATTTATCATTAATAACTATAATGGTTAACTTAGGGGTGTGTCAGGGCTATAGGAGATAGGTGAAGGGTAGAAGGGTGTGATAGTATTGTTTCGTGGGAGAGGAGAAGAAAGTCCTGGTGGGTTAGAAAGTGTGTGTGTGTGTGTGTGTGATGGTCTGTTGAACACCTCAGGAAACACCTAAGTTACGTTCACTGGTGTTATGTGTGACCCAACGACGGACGGACGGATGAACTACTGATCAATTCCTCATTATCATCGCCAGGTTAAAGAGGAAATGGCCAGTTAAAAGAGAGAGTTGCGCTGCCACCGTGATATGTGCCAACTGTTTACAGCAAGCCCGAGCTCGCCTGCTCTCCGCCAATCAACGCTCAGGATCATGGTACACAGTGGTGGGCGTCAGCCAATGAGCGCGAGGTGAGAGCGGCTGGAAGCTGGGGGAAGGGAGGCGATGGTTGCCGACTAAGGTCCGCCTCTTCAGTAATCCAGCGACCTCTCTGTTACGCGCGTGGTGAAGGGAAAGGAAAGAACGTCACCGGCCGGATCCTAGAGCCGTGGTATATAGTCGTCGTGTGCCCGCCAGCTACAGTCTAGTTGCTCGTGAACACTCGTGGTGTGAGGTTTGTGTCGCTCCTCCTGTACTTTCTCGCTCTTGTGAATCTCGAGGATATTCCAAAGTTCGCTTTTGGAAAAAACAAAAGAGTGAATATTTCTATTTATACCTCGTGGAAGTGTTGATCATATCACAAGGTAAGTGTCATTATCTTCTGTTAACTCTACCCCACGTGGAAGTAAACCCTTATAGAGAATAAGAGAGTGAATGAAAATAATATTATACAATTAAACAGAAACTAAGTAAGACAGACATACTTTAATAGTGTCGTTGATCACAAACTAGGTGAGACTCAGAGGCTACCACCAGCCCGGTAACCCCTCCTCCTACACCTCCCAAAGTTGACCAACAAGACTGTTTATCCATTTAGAAACAAAATCCCCAATAAACGTGTAAACCAGTGAGGTCAAGTATAAACAGTGATATAGACCAAACCTTCCCCGCCTCGTCTCTGTCTCGGGTATAACTTTCTACCATATAGAACACCGCCGACGGGGTTATAGCAAACTTTCCTCGAGAGAAAGTACCCAAGAAGGAAAGTAGACGGGGAGGGCGTGAAAAAAGATTAGGTGTTAAACTACCTGAGTGTGGGCACCTGTTTACACACGCTCAGACAAGGTTGGGGTCACTCAAGTGTTGACACGCGCCACCCTGGGTACCTGACGACAGAAACACCTCACATACACACCTTAGAATGTGTACATACAAAAACATGTAACACCTAGACACGTATTTCTTGTTAGTGGTATATCAACTAACGGCAAAACTACACGTAACTACCAACCAACACCGTGATGCAACACTACCACACAACACAAGAGTAACACAATGATGGAACGCTACAAGTTTTCCTAAAGTTAGGTCAAGACATTTCTGTATTTCTATGGGAAATTGAATGCTAAGACGTATCTATACATACTTTCACAGCAACATATATACAGTCGACCGTATATACCTTATGACATACTGTACATACATATCAACATACATACCTTGTACATATCAACATACATACATCAGCTGCCCTCCATGGTTAATCTAGCTGTGAAAAAATGCGTTAAAAAATATGTATTTATCTATTTTCCTGATTATTTATTTATTCATATATACATACATAATTTCTTATGGTTGGGAACATATGTGTAAGAGTCAGGTGTTGGTGTCAGGTGTGAAGTGTGACCCGAGGACCACATTGTAAACAGATACAGTCAGTGACCGCCAGCCAGCCAGCCAACTCTTGTTACGAAGGATATATTTACAAGCCAATAGTCTCTTGTGATCTTGTTCCTTCTGGGTCACTGAAGACACTTGAGAACATAGTGTTTTCATTGTGTGTGTCTACAGGAGGTTATATTTTTGTGTGTGATTTAATGTTCAGTATACTCGCCTCGCAAACAAGTGGACCCGGGTTTGATCCACGAGCAGGGTGAAGCGTTGGGTCGTGTGTGTGTGTGTTCACGCGGTACACCAAGAACGTGAAGATCTGTCCATACGGTACACCAAGGACGTGAAGATCTGTCCATACGGTACACCAAGGACGTGAAGGTCTGTCCATACGGTACACCAAGGACGCGAAGAAATTCGTCCATACGGTGCACCAAGGACGTGAAGAATTCGTCCATACGGTACACCAAGGACGTGAAGAATTCGTCCATACGGTACACCAAGGACGTGAGGAATTCGTCCATACGGTACACCAAGGACGTGAAGAATCCGTCCACGTGGTACACCAAGGATGTGAAGATATGTCCATACGGTACACCAAGGACGTAAAGAATTAGCTCACCTTGAGTATAGAGACAGGTTAAAGCATCTTAATTTGCACTCCCTTGAGGGGGCGTTGAGCGAGGCGACTTGATAGAGGTGTATAAGTGGAAGTCAGGGGCTAAACAAAGGGACGATACAAAGGTACCAAACTATCCGGCAGGAGCGAACTCGTAACAATGGTTTAAATTAAACAAATTTAGATTTAAGCGTGAAATAGGTAAACATTGGTTAGGAAACAGAGTAGTGGATGAATGGAACAAGTTACCAAATATCATCATTAACTCCGAATACACTGAATAACTTCAAACATAGGTTGGATGGATATATAGACGATAGGGGTTGGGTGTAAAACGGGACTGCCTGTATGGGCAATAGGCCCCGCTGCAGTTTCCTCCATTCTTATGTTCTTATGTTCTTATACGGTACACCAGGACGTGAAAAGAATCCGTCCACGCAGTACACCAGGACGTGAAGATCTGTCCATACGGTACACCAGGGCGTAGAAGGAATTCGTCCATACCGTGCACCAACGACGCGAACCCGTCCGTACGGTGCACCAACGGCAATGAGGCCAGCCGTACGGTACACCAGGAACGTGAAGATCTGTCCATACGGTACACCAAGAACGTGAAGAACTGTCCATACGGTACACCAAGAACGTGAAGAACTGTCCATAGGTACCAAGGACGTGAAGACCTGTCCGCACGGTGCACCAAGGACGTGAAGCGTCCGTACGGTACAGGACGATCCTCCATACAGTACATCAAGGACGTGAAGACCCGTCCGTACGGTACACCAAGGACGTGAAGACATGTCCGTACGGTACCAAGGACGTGAAGGTCCGTCCATACGGTACATCAAGGACGTGAAGACCCGTCCGTACGGTACACCAAGGACGTGAAGATGTCCGTACGGCACTATGACGTGAAGATCCGTCCATACAGTACATCAGGATGAAGACCGTCCAGGCACCAAGGACGTAAACAGTGAATATCCGCCCGTGCGATGAACTGAAAGACAAACAAACAAGCACAAAACAAACAAACAAACAAACAAACAAACAAACAAACAAATACAAACAAACAAGCACACACAAACATACAATCAAACAAACACAAACCGTCACAGTTTTACAGTTAGGAGAGAAACTTGTGACTGTGATACGATGACTAGAGTGACCAACTGTTTGTGCATCTGTCGCTTGTGATGTGTGCGGTGGTGGTGGTGGTGCGTGGTAGTGGTTGATGGTGAGTGTGGTAGTGGTTGATGGTGGTGGTGGAGCGTGTAGTGGTTGATGGTGAGGGAAGCCGATGGTGCAGGGTGGTGGCGCTATAGTGGTTGATGAGTGTAGTAGTGGTTGATGGTGAGCGTGGTAGTGGTTGATGGTAAAGGTGTGTGGTGCTTGGGGTGGTGGCTGACAGAGGTGGTAGTGGTTGATGGTGTGGTGGTGGTGGTGCTTGGTGAGTGGTTGATGCAGAGCGTGGTAGTGGTTGATGGTGTACAGGTGGTGGTGCTTGGTAGTGGTTGATGGTGAGCGTGGTAGTGGTTGATGGGTGCATGGTGGTGGTGAGTGTGGTAGTGGTTGATGGTGGTGGTGGTGGGAGGTGGTAGTGGTTGATGGTGAGTGTGGTAGGGTTGATGGTGTATGGTGGTGGTGGTGCTTACAGTGGTTGATGGTGAGTGGTAGTGGTTGATGGTGTATGGTGGTGGTATTGATGCAGAGTGTGAGAGCATTGTGTATGGTGATGGTGGTGCTTGTAGTGGTTGATGGCAGTGTAGTGGTTGATGGTGTATGGTGACAGTGGTGCTGGTAGTGGTTGATGGTGAGTGTGGTAGTGGTTGATGGTGGTGGTGAGTTTGGTTGGGGTTTGTGGTGGTGGTGAGTGGTAGTGGTTGATGGTGAGTGTGGTAGTGGTTGATGGTGATGGTGAGTGTGGTAGTGGTTGATGGTGGTCGTGAGTTTGGTTGGGGTTTGTGGTGGTGGTGAGTGGTAGTGGTTGATGTGTAGGGTTGATGGTGGTTAGATGGTTGAATGGTTGGTTGGTTGTCAGCGGTTAAGAGAAGTGATGGTGACGAGGATAATAAGTTGTGATTCTATCCTTATTAATTATTTTTTCTTTGTTTTAATTCCTGTTTGTTTTAATTCCTGTTTGTATCCTGTCTTCTCTCTCTCTCTCTCTCTCACACACACACACGCACACACACACACACACACATGTTTATACACTCACTCCATAAAACAACGTACAGTAGAATTACTCAAGATGACAAACACATTCTTACGACTTAAAAAAACAATACAATAATATAATTTTAAACACCAACAATAAAATAATATAATGATGATGATAATAAAAATAATAATGATAATAATACACTGACTCGTTAATAAGAAACTTTAGGATCTTTGTTATTTTTTTTTTATTTTGTGGGTTTATTTAATTTAATATTACTAGCGTTTCATTTTCTGCCACTGGTCCGTTTAAGAAGTGGAGGGAGGGTCAGGGGGGTGGGGGAGGGGGTCAGCAGGTGGGCGGGCGAGAGATGAGTCGCCGTCAGCCTCAGGTATGTCTCCGGTAGTCTCGCTGACCACTGCCTGAAGGAGGAGGTGAATGATGCCAGGATGACTAACGGAGGAGTTGGTCTCTCTCTCTCTCTCTCCAATACCTCTCCCTCCTTTCATCACTTACATTCCCATCTCTCATCATCACCCTCTTTTCCCCCTTTCACCAACACTCTCCCCTTCTCTCCATTCCTCCCTTCTCATCTCCCTTTCAACATTTTCTTAATATTTTTTTCATTCATATCTCTCCCTTCTGTCTCTCCTTCCCTCACATCCTCCCCTCCTCAGCACCTCCCTAGGAAGACTCTCACCTCCCTGTATCCTGGTGGCGACAAATGTTCTTCGCCCTGGGCACATGTCAGCGGGGGAGGGGGAGGGGCTAAAAAATAAATTCGAAGAGAAAAGTAGTATGTTAATCTACACCAGGGAGATGCCGGAACACCAGGAATTCCACAGTTTGGCTGTGTGAGGAAAGAAGGAACTACTTGCCGGCGGTACACAGGATGCCATATCCACCGAACATTGCTCGTTTAAGTACCTGTAAAAGAGAGAGAGTGAAGCAACATTGCGGCGAAGAGAAATGAAAGAGATTATCAACTAAAAGAGGAGAGTTAATAAGACGAAATGCCTTTGATTCCACCCTATTTAACAGAAGAAGAGCCACCTCTCTCTCATCAAGTCCTGTTTATTAGTCAGCGAAGATGTAGGTTATTGAGGCAGTGTGTGTGTGAGTGTGTGTGTGTGTGTGTGTGTGTGTGTGTGTGTGAGTGTGTGTGTGTGTGTGTGGAGTATAAAACTATGTGTTGGTTCCATCAGTATATATTTTCAACTTGTTCTTGGTCTCAGAAAATCCCGTTGATGTTATGTGATACTTATGTTACAAACGACCACTAAACCTCTCAATACCTGTGTGTGTGTTGTACTGTACATTCTGGTGTAGTGGCCGAGTGATTGAGACCAGCTGGTGTTGGATCTTACACTCGGTAGTATTATTATCTTCCTTTTATTACACAACGGATGATCTACAAGTCCCTAAGATAGTGATTTTATTTTATGTCATTGTTTGGAAGATTGGCGTCGATGTGGTAGAACTGACGGATTTCTCAGTAGGACTTGGTGATGCCATGAGAGTGCCACTGGTGACACTCTGGCCCTCCCTGGCACTATACTATAGGTCTGATCACTCGTTCATTAGTCGGTGTCTTTGTTTACCTGTCTGCTTTGTATTCTGGTCACATCTCATCATCCATATTACCTCCCTCTTATCTTTCTCCTCTTCCTGACCTCTCTCACATATCTCCTTCCTTTCTAACCCCCTCACTCTCCCAACTCTCTCCTTCCTCTTCCTCTTTTTCCCTTCTTTCCTCCTCCTCACCTCTTCCTTTCTTCCCCATTACCTCTCTCCTTCCTCCTTTATCATCTCTTCCTAGCTTCCTACTCTCACCTCTTCCTGTCTCTCCCCTCACAACCAGTCTCCCAGATGACTGTGAGCTAATACAGTCAACCATACAACCAGTTCACCACTCCCCCAGGCAGGAGACAGCGCCAAAAGGGTAGCGGAGCATGAAGCAACACACACACACACAGTAGGCCACCGACCCTGCAAGGTCTTCTGTAACCTGACCCTCAGACACTCCTCCCCACCCTCCCACCCACCTCTCTCTCTCTCTCTCTCTCTCACCTCACCTTAGCGTAACAGACAGTCGACATAAGTAAAGGGGTTCAGATACAACGCCTAACACCACTTAAGAATAACATTGGAATCTCTATAGGTGAACAAAAGTATAAACGCATCTACGATTCTCTATAGATAGTTGTAAACATTTCTGCCGTCTATGTCCATTACGACGGTATGAGAGGAATGTGTTTAAACTTCGAGTAAAAAAAAAAAACGACGAACACTTTAATACGAGCCAGTCACGTAACTTATAGCGAGCATAAAACAAAAAAACATAAGCGCTTTGTTACCGTTCCCGTTCGGTTGCGCTGTGTTTTGTCCCTCATAAACCCACTGACCGCCATTCTCGCACACCACACTTTCTGACGTCACACCACACGCTCATATGATTGGTCAGTTGTTATGTGACGTCATATCCCACACACACACGAACGCGCCTCATTGGTTAACCGGTAGGTGACGTTGTATTATACATAATTAGTTCCTTATCTTGAAACGCAATTAGACGCAGACACCATTGTAAGCATCTGGCTTTATTTCGCGTAAACAATATTTTATATCATTCAATTAGTAATAAAAGCGACAATAAATAGAATTGGAATTTTTATGTTGATCTATAAACAATTATTTACGGATATAAATAAGTTATGTAAGCCTGAATTAATATCGACAATAAGTAACGCAATATTTGAGTAACGCGAAGCCGGCCACCAGAGGCGCTGTTGTGGTTTCGTGATGTGATAATGACCTGGTTGGCTCACAGCGACGTCCTGGTGCTTTGGTGGGCGGTAACTGGGCTGTCTAGGTCTTGGAGTTTGTTATTATTACGGTAGTAGCTGAGCTGAGGCGTCGATATGTCTAGATTACAGGTAATAGTTGGTCAAGTTATGCTGCTCTCTCTCTCTCTCTCTCTCTCTCTCTCTCTCTCTCTCTCTCTCTCAACAGGAAGAGAGAGAGAGACATGACTATATACAACACATTGGATCACTATTTACTTCTTCATTAAAGTCTCTCCTCTTCCTCCTTCCTCCTCACTATTCTTCCTCTCCCTCCTCACTATTCTTCCTCTCCCTCCTCACTATTCTTCCTCTCCCTCCTCACTATTCTTCCTCTCCCTCCTCACTATTCCTCACTGTTGTTTATTTGGATCACCTGGAGATTCTTCCCCAGCGTAATTAACCTTAAGATTCACCTAACCTAGAGATGAATCACACTAGAACGTAACCTATCCTAACCTTACCCAATCTAATCTAGCCTAACTCAACCTGAATTAACCTAACTCAACCTAAATTAACCTAACTCAACCTAAATTAACCTTACTCCAATCTAATCTAGCCTAACTCAACCTGAATTAACCTAATCCTCAACCTAAATTAATCCTTAACTCAACCTAAATTAACTCACTCCAATCTAATCTAGCCTAACTCAACCTGAATTAACCTAACCCAACCTAAATTAACCTAACTCAACCCAATTAACCTTACCCAATTTAATCTAGCCTAACTCAACCTAAATTAACCTAA